TGCATCGTGGGGGCACCCCTTTCTATGAATTGCCTGCATGTGTTGAATTATTAGTTGTGTGATTGGGGGGCTATGAAGGCTTCACCAGAAAACGCGAATTCACACATTGATAACTGGCTACTGAGTCACTGTGAAACCTCCTCCGCTGGCTTAGTTTGCTCTCAAGCCACCCCGTGAAGTTCCCTACGGTGGTTTGAACACCCCGAAAGGCTCTGACTCACTGGCACTCCCTCCCATCTCTGTCTCTCCTCTTCTCTCTGTGTCTCTCTGTCTCTGTCTCTCTCTTTCTGTCTCTGTCTCTCTGTCTCCACCGCCCGCCCCCGCTTCCCTCCGTCCAGTCCAGCACCTGGAGGCTCTGCCTCCCTGGGCCCGGGAATTCTTTCTCCCAGGCCCGTATCTCTCCTCTGGTCACCTAACCAGACTCCATCCAACATTTACACTTTCGGACCAGGAAGAGAAGCCCACAGGCAGGCAGCGGCCACTCGGCCCCAGAGAGACCTCTGGAGTTGGGGCTTGCAGAGGCACCACGGCTTTGTGCCACCACCTCTGTCTCCCGAGTTAGATGGGACCTTCTGACTCGGGAGACAGAGGTGGCGGCTAGGAGCCAGCAGAAAGGGACCCCGGCGGCTCCCTCACCCAGTGTGCCCGGCAGCGCCTTGGAAGTGTTCTCTGACTCGTGTTTTTGCCTCGGAGGGGCCTCGAGGCCACATCATAAAGCCAGGCAGGGGTGCTCCTCACTGCAGAACTGCCAGGACGAGGCGCACCAGCAGCCGCCCAGGACCGGCCGCAGGGCAGGCTGGCCTTCGGCAGACACAGTGGCAAACACCCAGAAGAGGCCGACCTGCGGGGCGGGGGTGGGGCTGGGGAGTGGGAAGGGCGCGTCCGGACTGGTGAGAGCGGCTCGGCTCGGCTCGGCCTCCGGGGATTCGCACAAAGCCGGGTTTGCCTGTGTGTTGGGAAGAAGGAGGCTGGATGTTGGCGGCAGGGCAGGGAGGGAAAACCTGGGCGGGACCCCTGACCACACCACGGCGAAGGGGGCCCCAGGCGTTGTCACTGCCAGGAAGACAGCCAGGCCCTGCCCTCCTCCGGCACTCTGCCCAGCGCCCTTCGGGCACCCCTCAGCCCTGCGCCCCAAGGGCACCCCTCAGCCCTGCGCCCCACGGGCACCCCTCTGCCCTGCCCCCCACGGGCACCCCTCAGCCCTGCGCCCCAAGGGCACGCCTCAGCCCTGCGCCCCTCTGGCACTCTGCCCTGCCACTCTGCTTCCTCGCAGGCTCCTAGAGGGCACACCCTTCCTGGTAAGGGCGGGACTGACCCCGGAAACAGAGAGCAGAGACCGACGGGCCCGCCTTGCATTCCCCGGCGGGGGAAAGAGGGGGGCTCAGTACAAATGCTTGGGCCCACTGGGGAACAGGCTCCAGAGGCGGGTGCGCCGGGGCCAGGCTGCAGCCAGTCAGAGGCCACGGGGTGGGAGCTGCCTGCCGGAGGAGCGCGCGGGGAGCTGGGCCGCGCTGCGGGAGCCGCCCGGAACCATGAAAGCCGCCTGTCTCTTCCTGCTGGCGTCCCTGCTGTGCTCCAGGCGGGGTGAGTGTGCGGGGCCGGGGGCTGTCCTGGGGGCCGGGGCTGCCGTGGGGAGCGACTCCGGCTCGTGAGGTCGTGAGGGGCCCGTCCTCCGGGACCCGGGTGGCAGGAAGAGGCCACAGCCCCTGAGGAGGGGCCTGGAGGGGGTGCCGGGCGGGTGGCTCTGCCTGCCCGGGGCCGGACCCAGCCTGCCTGTGTCTGCGCCCCCAGCCCTGAGCCTGCAGTGCTACAACTGCGATGCCAACAAGGAAGCCAGCCAGTGCAAGGTCTCCTCGTGCGGCGGGGTCTGCTTTAAGGGCGACGTGGTCCTGACGGTGAAAGGCAGCGGCGGTGAGTGCTGGCAGGCCCGGGGCGCGCGGGCGGATCGGAAAGAGCCCTCTGGGGATCGGGTCGGGGGCTCTGCCCCAGGGCTCCCCGGCCTCGTGGAAGGAGAGGGGCTGTGGCAGAGGCCGGTGTGCGTCACCCCGCCCGCCTCGGCCTCACCAGGCGTACCGAGGGGGGGGCCCCGGAGCAGGGACTTGGGGCTGGGTGGGTGGGCTTCTGATAGGGGCCGGCGGCCGAGAACCAAGCGCCAAGCCTAGGTGGAGAGAGGGGGCGAGGGGCCGGACGGGAGGGCAGCGGGACCAGGGCTGCCAGGTCAGGCGCCTTCTCTCTGGCCCACAGAGAAGGTTACCATGGGATTCAAGAGCTGTGCTCCCTCCTGCGAGGACGCCTCAAAGACCCTACAGTTGTTCCGGCCGGAGGGTCTGCCCGGGTTCCCCGGGGGTGTGGAGAGCGTTGTGAATTCGGAGGTGAAGAACCTGGCCTGCTGCGAGAAGGACCTTTGCAACGGGGCAGCCAGGGCCGGGCGCAGCCTCGCGGCGCTGGCCGGGGGGCTCCTGCTCAGCTTGGGGCCCCTCCTCTTGGCGCTGCTGTGAGGACCCTCCTGCTACTCAGGCACCACGGGCTCCTCCAGAAGCTTGAAAGGGGCCTCGCCACGGTCATGAATTCCACCCGGGACGCACAGTCGTAGTGACCTCACACTAGCTCTCTCTTGCATGCACGCACACTGGCACATGCCCATGCGTGCGCACACACACGGGGTGCCCACGGTGCCCACAGCCTCAGACCCTAGAGTGCTCAGCAAACACAGGCTGTGCTGGAGTTCATTCCGCTCTGCCGCCCAGCGCGGGCAGGGGAGGGGCGGGCAGTCCAGGCCGCTGTGCTGACCCCAGCCGCTGCTGCCACCCACCTGCCCAGTGCCCTGCCACCTGCCAACAAGCGCGCCAATCCCGCAGGGCCGTCAGTTAATCACTGACCCAAGATCCAGGGCCCACAAGACCTGGCTGGACAGGGGCCTCTCGGAGAGCCCCACCTCCGGCCCTTCCAGCCCAGCTCCTGGCAACAGCACCGCAGGCAGGGCAACAGAAAATAAACGCTTTCCAGCAGCGGCTTCCTGCTCTGTGAATGTCTTTCCGGTCGAACAGGGGTGGGAGAGGGGGCAGTGGAAGTGGTGGGGTGGGGAGTGCAAGGGTCTTCACCTGTGGCTTCAACCAGCTTTTCCTTCAGCCAGACAATCCCGAACGGCTAATTCTTGGGGACAGAAAGGAAGGCTAAGCGCATGGCCAGTGCCAGGACCCAGTCTGGGAGGTGGCCCAACTCCTCCCACCAGGAAGCAGCCTCTTCCTCTACGCATGCTCTCTGCAGTGCCTCCCAGGAGCCCCACCCAGCACCTCCACAGGCCAGGCATCCATCTAGGTCCCTCCAGGTGGTGGCTGGAGTGCCAGGAGCCCCCTCAACAGAGGCAGGTGCCAGCCCAGGAGGGGTCTCTGGCCTGGTTCCCTCCCTCATCCTCCTTCACACTTTCTTCCCTCCAAGCCTCTGCCCTGTGGCCCACACTCTGGGTCTAGAAACTCCCCCAGCCCACAGGAGCCCACTCCTCCCTGTAGGACAGGGGTGACCAGAGCATTACCTCCTGAGCCCCTTCCCACAGCACCTTCCTAGGGAGAAGAGCCCCCTCCCTTCCCTCCTTATGGCCTCTTGCCCTTCTAACCCCTGAATGTGGCCCCAAAAGCCCCAAGGGATCACCAGAGGTGGGGTCTGTAGGTCCTTGGAGACCAGGGAGGGGCATTCCCTTTACAGATGGGGAAACTGAGCCCTGTCCTCGGGCTGATGGTATGTGACCACTGACCACTGCGCATCCAAGTTAACTTTCCTCAGCCAGAGACACACATCCCACGCCAACCGCGGCAGGTCGGGACGAACGAAACCACCAGAGCAAGGGTAGCTGTCTCCCCAGGCAGTGGCTGGGAGGCGGGCACAGAGCCTGTGAGGTGGTGGGGGCTGTGAGGGGGCACAGCTCCCAGGGTGGGGGCCTTGGCGGTAGGAGTGGCTGGTCCCAGGCTGGGTTGTGACCCAAACTCCTCTGGGCCTAGCCTGTGCTTCCAGGCTCTGCCCTGCCCTGCCCATGAGGAGTCCGAGGAGCAAGGAGGCTGGGGCTGGAGCCTCAGGGTTGTGGGCACCCAGGCCCAGGAGCCTCCCGAGGACAAGGAGCCCCTGCTGTCATCCCTGCGCCAAGGCCCCCTGGGATGCAGGAGAAGGCCCGGCCATCCTGTTTCTAGTTCTCTCCAGGGTCTCCTGGTGGTTCTGAGGAAGAGCAGCCGGGTCCTAGGGGACCACCCATGCCGGATCCTGCTTTCCCGCCCAGTAGTTTCCATGTCCAGCCCTGATACTTTTAAGAAAACCAAAACAGCACTTTGGCAGGCTGAGGTAGGTGGCTCACCTAAGGTCAGGAGTTCGAGACCAGCCTGGCCATCATAGTGAAATCCCATCTCTACTAAAAAGAAAATACAAAAGTTAGCCAGGCATGGTGGCGCATATCTGTAATCTCAGCTACTCTGGAGGCCAAGGCAGGAGAATCACTTGAATCCAGGAGGCAGAGGTTTTAGTGAGTAAGGTCGCACCACGACAGAGTGAGCCTCTGTCTTGGGAAAAAAAGAAAGACAAGAAAACCAAAACAGACAGTTTCCAAAACCCAACCCCACAGGCCAAGCACTAGATTTCTCACATTTCTGAAGGTGGTGCCTGCCTGAACCACCTCTGTGGGGAGCAGCCCTCAGTGGGCCTGATCCAGCCAGGGCACCCCCTTATGCCACAGCACTCCCCATGCCATGGAACTCCCCGTATGCCACGGCACCCCCATCCCACCGCACCCCCTATGCCACGGCACTCCCCCATGCCAGGTCACTCCCCTATGCCACGGCACTCCCCCTATGCCATGGCACTCCCTGTATGCCGGGGCACTCCCCTGTGCCAGGGCACTCATCCTATGTGCAGAAGGACACCAGAGAGCCAAGGCCACCAGGACCTCTCAGACCAGGAGCAACTAACTGGCAGTTCTATCTGCAGACATGGGGTTCTGCAGTAGTGCATGTGGAGCATGTGCTGTGTGTGGTC